GAAAAAAGCGCCTTTAACATGAAATGTTGAACACTGAACATGAACACATTAATACAGGTACAATTATTTGAATATTTGGAATATTAATATTTGGAAATATTCGAGTTAAAAAAAAAAAACCGGAATTACTTGTTTATAAGTAAATTTTGCAATGTAACAAGCAGGGATTTCCCGTAAACAAAAACGATAGCTTAAATCGCAAAAATTAATATGGGATTAATTTAACTTCATCACGTAATGTGTATATATCTATAAAAAATTCAGATGAGTTGAGAACTTCTTCTATTTGGAAGTTACTTAAAAACAAATACAAGTCAAGGCGTTTCCTAGTTCTGTTCGACTAATAGACGTCAATAGCTAAATATTGATATATTTAGCGGATGACGTCAAGTATGACATTTCCACTTTCTACGTTATAGGTACGAGGAAAGTCAATAGTGCTTATGTGATTTTCTTTTTTCGCTATCGTATATTAATTTGTCTGTCACTATCCAGTATTTTTGGGCATTCTTTTTTGTTTTTTCTTTTTTGGGCGGGATTGAGGAGAACTGTTTAGAAAGCTAATAATAGTTAGTTATACAACTTTTATATTCATTCGTATATTTCGGCGACAAAGTTTACTGAGTTTACACATTTACTGAATAAATAAATATTATTTAAATATCTAGTAACTCCCTAACTTCATCTATTAATATAGAGTGTCAAACAAAAAGTATAAACAATAATAATAAAAGATCGTGTCACAAAAAAAATTACTTCAACTGTGTAAAAATTTTTATTTTATTTAAAAACTAAGTTACTGAACCAATTTTTATAAAATTTCTATGAGATCGATTTGTAAGTATATCCTTTAAGATAAATAAAGAATTTCCCAACTTTTTTTAGAACTGACGCAGTTATGAGGTAACAAACATTAAAAAATATAACCGAATTCAGAACCTTCTTCTTTTTGAAGTCGGTTGAAAATTGTAACTTATGTTACAATTTTCGTTACGATGTTTATACATGGGAGCTATAAAAAAAAATGAAGTCTAATAGAAGCCTGAGAAATATTTTCGAGAAAGTTTGTCCGTCTGTTAGTTTATTCCGGCACCATGCAAAAACTACTGCATTGGATGCGACTTTCACAGTTGTAATTCTAAAAACATAACTTAAAATGTGGTATCTTTATCATCATACGTCATCTATTTCATTATTATTTGTACTTTTGAATGGTTACGAAGTAGCGGAAAGTAGTTTTAATCTAGTTATTAATAAAGACTATACCTAATCATATCAATCAAAACAACCGCATGTTTTTTATATACTGTCTAAACGAGCATTGAATTTCTTACCTATATAGATTGCTAATAAATCGAACGGTCCAGTTATGTTCCGCTAGCTAACCTGGTATGCAATTGCAGGCCACCGTATGCGGTGCACAGACAGACGGACAAGTGAACCCAGTTTGGATAGCATTAAACATATCTAAGTGCACTCTTCCGCTGTGACGATGTGACTTCCTCGGTTTTATTGGAGTCGCGTACTTATAGTGATCTACCAATATATATGTTAATGAATTTTCTAAACAATTAACAAGTTGACGTGACACTATGACACAAACCGTTTTATTTCTTTACCAACTTTTTGCTGCTACTTCGTATGTTTGAATTTTAGAAGTAAAAAAGCCATTGAAATAGGTCACTTTTAGGTAACGTATCAAAATAAAATATATACCAGTTTTTAAGTTAGATTTTCAGAAATACGGATGCGGAAGGAAAACCGTATCGATTTTGTCACCTTAGCTTTTGCGTGATACTGGAACCAACATACTGCTAGACAATCAAAATTTCCAAAAAAATATTATATGGGCATCTATTGGTCTTATTAAAATCCCTCATATATTTTTCTAAATATCTCCCATGTGCAGACATCGTCTAGTTACAATTGTATTACCTTAGTAAGATATTTATTAAAATATCAATATATAACACACTATAAATACTTCCAAATTTTAGTACAGTAGAAAATAAAATCATGTCAGCTAACGTTCGGATCTTTTTGAGTATTTATTGACACTACACTCCATCTAGAAGTAATCATATATTATCTAGATTGGTCTATAATCTAAAGTGCATTACACTAAACATCCGGTTACACATAAACACGAAAAACATAACCCCCTATTTCAGTAATCAGGTAAAAAGTTCACTCAGCCAAGGAGCTTATCCTTACATATAAATTTATAAACTATATTCAGTAAGTAATTCATTATTAAATTTGAATTTCAATATTACAGATTAATTTGCCACTGAATACATAATTAATCCGATTTTATAAGTGACTCTGATTTCTAAAACTTTATTCTTACTCATAAAAAAACTTCTGTCAGCAATCTGTAAACCATAGATTATAATTACATACTGAAAGCGTGTTAATTGCTATTCTCAGATTATATAGACAGAATGTTTGCATACAAACGCTTCGCCAAAAATGGATCAACATTTTTATTCATGTTTGTGTGAATAAGGTTACCATATAGTATCTATTATTCGGTAGATGGGAGAAATTACTGTAAGGTAAAATAAAAATAGATAAACAGTGCATAATGATTCGTAATGATGCTTATCATTACAAATTAGGTACTCTGATTTATATTTGAATATATATATATATATATAAAATATGTTTTCGTTTTCAAATTATTAAAAATAGTCGCCATTTTAATTAACATATATAAATTATAAAATTACACTTTTAAATTTATATTTATATCTAAAAGAGAAAGACATATTACGCTGACACCAAATAATAATTGGGATAAGGATAGGAATGTGATAACGTTTTCAGTATTAGAAATAGCGCGTTTTGTTTCAAAAATACGTGTCAAAATATTCCAATGTTAAATTAGCAGACTAAATTTTGACCCATTTTTACCACTTGTTGCTCTATCTATATAATCTAAGATGCCATAATTATTTATCATTTGTGCTAATTATCTTTTATTATTGGTTTGAAGGCCTTATGAAATTAAATTAAAATAAACAAATTAGAAATACCTAAGTCAATGATTTATAACGTCAATTTTTTACCCTATTTTTTATAATACATACTTCTAAATGGTTTACCTGTTTACGAGTATTAATTAATCAAGGCTACGTTGTCGTAAGAGGTGACTAAGAGATCTTAATAGTCGAGGGATGGGTAGCAGCGTCCCTCTTAAAACATCACCAAAAGCCTAACTACTGGTAAAACCTAGAGACCTATGTTCAACAGTGGACTGGAATGATATAGAGATTGATTAGAAGACAATGTTTCTTAGAAGCCCGTCATTAAACATTTGAACATTTAGATATTGATATCTAAATAATGCTCCTGTTCTTTTTTGCGAATAATAATGATTCTTAAACAAATTTTATGAAAACTGAATTAATAACCAATCGTAATCTAGAAAGAATAAATCCATGGTAAAATCACATTAGGAACATTTTTTATGCAGGCATCGTGAATAATTTTATCGCTCCGCATATTGGCATATCGGAACGATTTCCACATTAAATCTTAGCTAAAAATGGATGAATGACGTTCCACCAGTAGCGTTTTATAGCAATGAAATGAAAATCAGACGGTTTGAATAGCTCTACTGAATTTAAACTATCTTTAATGTTCTAATATGTAGCAAATATATATAATTAAATAAGTAACGTCAACAACAATCCGACAATTTTAATTTTGATTGTTTATTTTTAGTTTTTAATATTATCGTACTATATCATACCCGATATATATACCAGAAAGGAGACTTTCTACAAACTTCATCTACTCGGGTATCTATGTTCGGTTTCAAGAGCGGGATACTCTGTGATGTCGTCGTATTCTTCATGTCTATAGGTGTTGGTTGTCGCTTTCAGGAAGGCTGTAGCCATTTTTCACAAAATATATAGAAGTATTACAATCTATATTTATAAAATCGTTTATTCTGACTTAACTATAAACTCACAGGTAATCTAAGCTAAAACTTAATTTTAAAAAGCTGAAATTTGGAACCTAAAATTAATTACAATGTTAGCATCCACTAAGAAAGGATTTTTGGAAATGTTAACTTAAAGAAACAAGACACACGCGTGAAAAGCCATGGGCAACAGCTAGTAATGTATAAACGACGCTAAGACTTTACAGTAATCACAGTATCACTGCTGGATAAAATCTTTTTCACATAACAACACGATATTGGCCTATTTATTATACCAGATCGACTAGATGACTTTGGTATAGGCCTTTATTTCTAGTTTGTCGTGACTTGTATTGGTATAATATAGTGTTGTTTCCTTAATCGCTTTTCACGACACCTGTAGATAAAAAGAAGTGAGAATTGACGTCGTATTTTTATTCTATTACTATACAGATAGCATACATACATCCAACTACAATACTCCGCCTCGTTTCTTTGAGAGTCAAGTAAATGAATTAATTAATTAGACATTAATAATATAGATTTTTTGCATTTTCTTCTGACATTTTCTGTTCCAGTTCCGGAATATTTTCGCAGAATAAAGGAAATTAATCTATTTTAGTTAAAAGGCTCCGTTTGCTTAGAAACGCAATGCCGTCTCCTGTTAAATTTTGTGGTTTCTCATCTTTGTACATAATTAATTATATAATGTAAATTATTTTATAAGAGATATTGTTAATACGTAAAATGAAAAAAGCGCCCTCCTCTATGTTTAACTTCTTTTGACTTCCTTACGGTTTACAAGTACCAATACTGTCAAAAAGAGTGACCCAATCATTGCAAAAAAAAATACCCAATATGGCAACACTGTGTTAATCCCTTTGGAAATTATAATAATAGAGTAATTCAATATAATTCGTAAGGTGCGTCTCTTAATTTTATTTCAAATTTTTATGTAGGTATACATTATTCTACAGCGTATCTGTGTAAGTTTAGTGTTTATATACTCGTATTTATCTATCTTGTTTTGTATTAGGGAAATGAGAGTTATATGATTTTGAATACTTACGATATAAATGACGATATATTATGTCTCTTTAAGGCCAAACAAACTATTCAGTCTTCAAAATATCTGCAACAAAAGATAACAATGAATTTAATACAAATATGGATACATACATATATACATGTAATGTCTTTTTTCGATTTAAATAGGTAGAAATTAAAAATAAATTTACTACAAATCTACTTTATTGCTATTGGTATCAAAGCTCAATAAATGCAATTATTGTGACGACGCCATAAACAAAACATTTTCTTTTTTTATTATCAAGGAAAACGTTTTATTATTTCCTCCATAGAAGACAAATTGCAGGTCGCGTCTGCAATTTCCTCATGTTTCGTATTATGATAAAATATGTGGTTTGTCTCATCCCGTTTTGTATTGTTGAGAAAAAGAAACTATAATGTGTATTGACTAGAATGTGTAATGTTAATAATGTAATAATAAAAATCTAAAATAATAATAATAATTCATAAAATAAAGGAACTAAGTTAAAAAGAATTAAATATTTGTTATGGTTTTTTATTAATTTTTTATAAAGACCGTAAGTATTTGCGGTTTAAGGAAGATAGCAGTTTAGTTAAAATATATATATATATATATATATATATATATATATATATATATATATATATATTGACTCAATAGACATAACTTACTACTACTTATACCACATATTTAGATTATATATATAGAGCATCGAGCCTTAAAAATGGGTCAACTTTTTGTCAGCTAATTCTCAAATTAGTTAACTCAATTTTTTTTATCAGTATTATATATACACATAAAATGTATCTTGACGTATTATTTAATAAATAAAATGAGTGTTTATGCATTCAAAAGATGCAGAAATTATAAGACAAAATAAATAAAGAAGTTATAAAGGAATCACTCATAATTATTTATCACGCAAAATTGTATGAAAAAGTTGACCCGTTTTTCTCGATGCATTTCTCTATGTATGTAATCTAAGACTACATAATATTATATGCATTATCACAAGTACTACAGTACAATGTTAATACATATTTATACAAATTTGTATACTCTAATCGGAGACTAGTCTCTGTCCTAATTGCACGTAATATGTAAAAATTACATATCTTAGTTATGATTAAATCTGTAACCCTATACGTTTCATCAAAATTTTATCACTCTGATATTCAGTTGATTGGAAATCTTCTAAAGGAATTAATCTCTTTTATAATAAACAAAGTTTACTACAGAAAAAAACGTTATGTATACTTAAGTTTATTTCCATAGTATATTTTGTGTTTTATACATTTACAGATAGCTCTAAATTAGATACATAAAATTAGTAAAGCATTATATATAACAAAGTAATGGAAAATATTATTTATTATTATATTCAAAATCTGTATAATAATATTCGTACAAATTATCAAAAGTCATCAGACCGTATCGTGTATTGTAGAACGACAAAGTAAATTTCTTCTGTTTGTATTTGAAACAGATTTTAGAAGGTTTATGCATATTGTAATAGGCAAGGGAATTGAGGATTTGCTACGCCCATGTTTTATTACTGTTGTGAATTTAAAATACAGTATAGGTGTAATGTTTATATTTAGTTATGGTATTCATAAAATAATGCTTATCTATATTATCGTTTGCACAAAATATTACATTATATTTTAATTATACTAGTAAACGCTCCGGCTTTGTACGAGTTCAAATTGTACATACTAATTTATCGTAAAAAATATATAAATGACATGAAACCTGTTTTAAAATCTATTGCACAGTTTAGGATAAGTAAGCGAAGAAATTGTTTATTGATGAAATAAATCTATCAATCACTCTTGATCATAGCTCTTACAATGTAGTTCTGGTATAATAAATAGTACCAATAATGTCTAAGCTTAGCAGTCTGCGGTAGTTGTGCATAAGAAATGTCAATTGTATATAATAATTAATTAACGAGAATTTAATGTTTATATTTTTTATTTTTCATTAGATTTCCATTAACCAATTATGTATAAATATAATGTTGATAGGTATCAGAGAAGGAGACTCGTCAGTGGGGTAGTGTTGTTAATTAAAGATTATCTTTAACTATTTAAAAGAACAATAATTTATGATGATGATAATGTTGTTTGACGAGCTTATATATATTATAGCTATAGTTTCGTTAGATCAGTAAAGTAAACTGTACAGTCGGCGTAGCCTCAAATTAAAACATCAATATGCGCGAAAATTGTATGGTGTGGGACGTACATTCACTCAACATGGAGTGACAACAAAATGAGAGATGACATTGTAGTGTAGTGTTTTGTCTATAGTGTTATTGATGCCTATAGGAATGTTGTAATTTAAAAAAAAAAAGATAATTGTGTAACAGCATTGCACTTATCTTTAAAAATGAAAGGTGGCGAAATATTGAAGAGCATGTTAAAATTTCACGATAACCATACCAAATTTGGGTAAACGTAGTGAAACTCATGTCACGAACTAACAAAAAGCTGGAACATTGTACAGTTAAATAAACGATTAGATAGCGAAGTAACGTGAAGATGTCGCTCGGGTATCGCGGTGAGAAATGTAAAATAAATATTGCATGAATCTTGATAAGACTGTGCTCCGCGGCGCCAGTGAGATTGTGCTGAAGACTTTTTGATAATTGATTCCTTAATGAATACATTTCATGCATTTACTTTTATATGCAGATATTAAATTTCTTGATGTTTGAGTTCCGTTACTTCTGTATTTTCAAAGGAGATACTGTACCTTCAAATAGTTTTTTTATACAACTTAGAATGGCAAACAAGCTGACGGTCCACCTGATGGAAAGTGGTAACCGTCGCCTATAGACATGAGCAATACCATGGATATAACAGAGTATACTGTTTCGCCTATGATAGCCCTCCATGCGTTGCTATTCCTGAGGACTCAGGTGTTATTACTTTGTACCCTGTAAATTCACGTCATATCCCACCCTTCAAACCGAAACACAGCCATACAAACATAACTGTTTTACGGTTGAAACACGACTGGGACAGAGGTACCTAAGCAAACGACTTTTGTACAAAGTCTCCCTCTGGTAAATGTAATAAATTAGTTTGCTATTATTTGTAAATGTATTAAAAAAAGAATAAATAAATGTAACAACAACTTAAGTCATAGATATTTTAAAAAGAAAGGAGGAGCTGTACATATTTACAAATACACTTATAAGTAATAGGTAAATGTATTGGATTATCAGAAAGCTTTTTAACATCTACACACTAAAGTAACTTATTATGATCTTTGATTATTTACAATAAAATTTGGAGCGTGGCTAACGTGTGTTGGCAATTACCACCATTGCTTACGAAGCGACGCATTAATTTCATGTTTGACGTGTAAATCATAAATCATAACATAGGCACAATATTATTTATGTATACATTAATTTACATTAACAATTTTAAATTAGGTCGTAAACGGTCCGCCGAACATAGAGTAGTTAACGGATTCCATTTCATTTTCTGTTACCTTCAATGCTGCATCGTATAGGCTAAGAATGTGAGCAAAAACCTGCCTGGAGCAACTCTCGAGCGACCAATTAATACTTACGTGTTACATTACGTTGCTATTTCGAGCGCTTCATTCGCTATGCACTCTCTGTTTTGTTTTACTCTATTATGGCAATTATGATTGAACATATAAAATTAAAATATATTTCTATCTCAATTTTATTGCTTACCATATAAAGTGGTTATAGTTTGTGGTATATTTGTTAATGTTTTTTTTTCGTAGATCGCTGTACTGTAGTCATGAACATCTTCATTAAGAATAATTTAGATATCGCTATAATTTTTTTTCGCTTTTTACCACAGTTTCTTCAAGATTTCATTATGAATTGAAGTTATTATCTCTTATACTTTTACTCCTCGTTTATTTTTTATGGAAGTTTTTTAAAGAATTTTTTAAAGGAGGTGATGTAGAATTTGCAATTAATTTCGATGCACCCCTTTATTAAATAAATACAGGGAGATTGATTACCATCGCTATTTTGTTGTTGTTAATTTATTATTTACTACTTTGGTTTATTTGACATCCATTTTGTCAATTAAATCACTTATTGACGTGATTGATGATTGTCCTTTATTTTACTCATTATATTAATATTTTTAATTTCGGAAGGCTTTAGTGGTTTTATATATTGTCTTACCTTCTAACAGATACAAACAACAGACAAAACAATACAAACATTTGTATTCTTGTCAAACCAGATAAAGCGATGCATTAATTGGTTTTGTGAACAATTTCAATTTTATTCAATCTACCAGGGTCTTAACACGGGAAGTAATTATTTGTTTCGAAGGCGTATGTATGGATTGTATGCTAATTTGTATGACTTTATTGGCGCAATATGCGTGGGAGAGAACTAAGAGGGATTATGGATACATTGTTATACAAATTATTTCTAGGTGTCATTATATTGGTTGCCGTAATTGAAGACATAACAGCTGGTACCTTACCTACTTACCTATACCAGCAAATATTAACATATAATAATAGATATACTGTAATAGTACTTAAATAATGTTATACATATAAAATTATACGTAACAATGAAAAAAATAAACAAGAGTGTGTAAAAACTCATTAATCAATACACTTTTAAGTTCTTCATCATCATATCAGTCTTCAACTGTCCACAGCTGAACATAAGTCTCCCCCTCGGAGAGTTTTGTCAGTAGTTGCCATTCTTGGCAGGCGGGTTGGCAACCGCAGTTAGTCTTTAGAAATGTTTAAAAGAGGGAAGCTGCTGTCCATCTCTTGTCCTTTAAGTTCTTATTTAATTATAAATAAAATATAAACGACTTTGATGATGTCAATGTCAGTAGTTTATATTTTATTGTGAGTGTCATAAAAAATTTTAATTACGAGTATGTCTGTTTGTAAACAATAACAGTACAATTTGTAAAGCGACGAAACAATTTTGTATTGTTGTGTTTATTGAAAGCCTTTATTACAAACACAATTAAAGTTGCAAAGGCGTTTCGGTACTGAAGATATTATTGATTATAGGTATTTTTGTACACTTACATGTTTTAATCGAACTT